AAAGGGTCAAGTTCTTTTGGAAGAACATTGCCGATTCTACTTCATCCCGCACTGCGCCATTTTCAGTGGGAGCAGATTTTGGATCCTTCCTTGGGCGTGAACACCTCCATTGGGAGATATTGTTTCTCCGTATTAAATACATCCTCCCTCCTACTCCTTTTGGTTCAGATCTGGTTTGGTTCTTGATTCAAGATTGATCGTTGAAAAACATATTTTTCTAAATATAGGGAATTCGATTCCTTGCAAAGATGGGAGAAATGTTTTGAAATTCGCCCTATCCATTCCGCAAGACTTGGGCGTCCATGTGATGGATATCCCATCCCTTTCAGATTTCTCACTTTATTTTGATTCCAAATTCTCCTTCCTTGGTCCAAAACATCACTAACCTTGAGATTCTTATCTTTAATCCTAACTTCAGGCACCATTTCAGTTATGTATAGGATTTTCAGCCATCCATCAATCTTTCCAAAAATTTATTGTCTTACTATTTCTAATTTCCCATCCTATGCCCTTTTCAATTAGGTTCCTAGCATTTAGGATATCCCTTCAAGCCCATGAAATGCCTTTTTTCTTCTATTTTGCACTCCAAAAAATTTCTTTATCAAGGTACTTGCATTTAACCACTTTACCCATAGATTATTTTCCTTATTTAAAATCTTCCAGCCTAATTTAGTTAGATTTTCTTCATTAATCCAATTTAGATTTTTTCAACCCAAAGCCACCCCGCATTTTGGGGGTACAAACCATTTGATTAAGCGAACCAACTTTTTATCACTTGAATTAGACCACAAAAAGTTTCTATACAATTTTTCTATATCCTCAATTACGTACTTGGGAGCTTGAATGATCTCATTAGAAATTTGGGCATCATATTTGTAACCGCATTTATAAGAATTAATATCCCAGCCAAAGAGAGGATATTTTTCTTCCACCTTGCCAATTTCGTAGAAAATTTTCCTTTAAGTCCCTAAAAGTTTTCTTTGTAACTCTCTCATTTATGACAAGGGCCCCTAAGTAAGTATTTGATTTGTCCTAAATGAGTATATTCAACATTCTAGCCTGAATTTTTGGAGTCTTCTGGCGATACTTTTTGAGAAATGAACAATGGACTTAGCAAAGTTTTGGCATTGCACTGAAGATCTTGCAAAGCTAGAAATGATTTTCTTGATTTTTAAACAACCCAGGATAGTTGTTTCAAGAAAGATGAGGCAATCATCAACAAATTGAAGGATGGGAGTCTTAAGGCCATTCGTTGAAGCTTTGCACCCAATAGAGTTGCCCTTCTCGAAAGCTTCATTTTCAAATCTTTGGCTAGTGCTTTAGCACAGCACATGATACAAAAATGTATGGAGAGAGAGGATAATCCTGTCTAATACCTCTTAAGGGAGTGAATTCCCTAGTGGGTATACCACTGATCAAAATTTAGTAAGAAATAGATTTAATATACTCCATTACCCACCTAATCCATTTCTTATGAAAGCTGAATTTCCTAAGGACTTTCTCAATGAAGTCCCACTCCAAACTATCATAGGATTTCTTCATGTCAATCTTGCATGCCAACATACCAGAGCTTCCCCTTTTCTTTTTCATTGAGTGAATCATTTCATGAACTATAAGGGTGTTATCATTTATCTACCTGTTTGGTACAAAAGCGCTCTAGAAAGAGGAAATTATATTGTCCAAAATGGGTTTGACACTATTGACCAGAATTTTGGAGATAATTTTATATACAACATCAATAGGCTTATTAGTCTATAGTTTGTTAACAGTTTCAGGTTTTTTCTTTTTTGGGATGAAAACAATGAAAATTTTATTTAGAATTGGTCACAAATTCCCAGAATGAAAGAAAGCTTTCATTACTTTACAAATAAAATCTTTTATGATATGCCAAAAAATAAAGCATTAAGTCCATCAGGCCCCAAGCTTTGAGGTCCTTGAAAGATTGAAGAGCCTCCAATATTTCTTCATTAGTGCATGACCTTGCTTATAGCTGTATTTTAGTCATTTGTGATGTTGTGCTCAATTCCACTAATGAAATCATCAATGTCACTAGTTCCTTTAGACTGGAATTCAAACTTGTTACTGAAGTAGTTTGAGATCTCAGAGGGATCTTCAATTTTTCCCCATTATCATCATCATTTGTGATGTGTGAAAAAATCTGTTGTTCTTATCCTCCGTAGACTTGAAGAAGTTCAAAATAAATTGACCGAAGGCAATAATAACATTATCCTCACAAAATTTGGAGAATGTTCTCCAAAAAACAATTAATTAAATAATATCTTTAATCGTGAGGAAGCTTATTGGGTCCATAAATCGTGAAGAAGCTTCTTGCCTGCAAGAGCCTTTTATCTAACCATCATTCTTGCTTGATCGGTGAATTGTGTGCGATAGACGGCAAATGTTGCTGCTCATTTAGTTGCTAGATGGAATTTATTTCTGTGTAGACTTTTTACTTGGTCTATTATTCCAGATTTTTTTTATGTAAAACTGTTGAGATGGACTCTTCATCGAACTAATGGAATTCTGCCAACGGGCTTCTTCCAAAAAAAAAAAAAATCGCCGCGTTGCAGTTGCTTAACTATTCTGGACTCCATTGATTAGGGGCGAAACACAACATCGATCATTGAGATCTGCGTACTAATTCCCGAAACGAACCTCTCTACCTCTTTGTTTATTTATTTGGTGTAAAGAACTCGATATGAAAAAGATAACAAAGCCCCATGAAATATTAGTGGAATCCAACTTTTGGGTTGGAAAATATTTGTTCATGAAAAGTTTACATAATAAGATTGGGCCGACATGTGACATCTATCTCTTTATAGTTTCCAACGAGGAAAAGATGGCAAGGAGAGAGAGAGAGAGAGCGCCATAGGGACCACCATGTATCAAATTATGAATATATGGCTCTTATTAAGAATGTTATCTGTTGATATTCTTACTGTGGGACTCATCTCTGTCCTGCTCGTTGACCAACCAATTGGCTCTCTTTCATTTGTTTGTAGATGTCACAAGTTGCCGGGACCCAAAAGTTCAGATTCAAAGACGCAACATGTTTGAGCCAGAACTTTAGTTTCAAGAAAGAGATGGGAGAAAGAGAGATCATCGATGTGTCATTTCTTTTATATCTAAGGTGAAAAGGGAAAGGAATCTTTAGATGGGAAATGCCAAATATGTCGTGGGATTTAACTCAAAATTCAAAAGCAAAAATAGAGATTTCCTTCATGATCTACATTGGGTTAAGTTGAAGATAGCTGGTTCTTTTTCTCCTCGCTGGTTGGTAGGGATGTAAACGGATCGGATCAGATTTCAATCAAGGTATATTCGAAGCCCATCTGGCATTGTCCATGTAAAAAGATCAGACCGAATCTAATAAGACTCGACTTGAATTTGAATCCTATCGGTAAGTCGGATCTTCAGATCTGATCCAATCTGACTTATTTTCTTTAAAAATTAATAAATTATTAAAAGAAAAATAAAATTTACTAATTTCAATTAAATAAAAAAATACATGTATTTTTTAATTATTTTCATTATATATGTACATGTTTTTTATAAAAAAATAAACAATATAATAAATTTATAAAAATATAATATAAAAAAAATATATTTATAAATAAATAAACAATATATATATTATTTATATTTATAAATATATAATATATCAGATTGGATAGGAGTGATCTGAATCTGACCCGATTTCTAAATGGATCATATTATCCGATCCGATCAAAAATCCGAATCGGAGTAATCCGAATTCGACCAAATAGGATCATCAGATCATATCCATTTGCACCCCTACTAGTTGGAAAGATGGCACACAAGACATGATAGCCTCTTCAAAATCATCATGATCGATTTTAAAAATGGTGAAACTGTGAAAGATCTTTGTTGGTTGTGGAGGGAATAAAATGAAATAGCTACACAACTTCTTTTCAAACAATATAAATTAAATATTAAGCAAAAAGAAGAAAAACAGCCTTCCTTGCTTTTTCTTCTGGGGTAATCAAAGCCTTGAATGTTCAACAGTTCTTAAAGACGTTGCTGGCAAAATTCTGTACTAAGGCGATTAGATTCATTGAATATGGGCTGAAAATGGCAAAACCAAATAAAAACGAAATCCTGAGAAACTTCTTTCATAACTATGTTAGCAATGCAAAGCATGTCCATGTTCACTCCCCAGTTGATCAATATCCGTGGATGAGTTAAAGTCAAAATCACAGCAATAATGAGTCCCCACGAGCCCTGTCTAGTTCTGAGGTCCCTCCCATACAATTTAACATGCTTTAGGGGTAAAATGGCAGCAGCAAATCAAGAAATTGGCAAGGTGGCTTAAAGATAATCCAAGCATCACTAAGGCTGTGTTTGGTTTTAAGGAAAACGAAGGGAAGGGTAGTGGAACTTATACAAACCAAAAACAGCCTATACAGAAAATATTATTAGGGTCTATTTGGTTCGCAGTCAGAATCGGAATCGAAATGGTCTATTCCCATGATCTGTTTGGTTCAGACAGAAATCGGAACGAGAATTGAAATCAACTGGAATATCCAAATAGGATTTTATTCCCAAGGGGAGGGAATGGCCATTCCCTCAAATTGGGGAATGGCATTCCACCAGGAATGGAATGGGATTCTGATTCCACCCAACCAAACAGTTGAAATTGGAATGGACCATTCTGATTCCGGTTCCAGACCCCTATTCCCATGAACAGACAGGACCTTAGTATAATTATTAGAAATAAGTAAAGTGATGGAAAAATAACAATCTCTACAGGCTTTCAGTAAATAACCATTTGTATAGATATATGACTGATAAAGGCATCTTAAGATTGACTGTAATTTCTAACAAAAAATAAAAGATAAGATTGATTGTTAGGAGGGAGAGATCAGAAGTATTTCTTTTTCCGTTTACTTTGATCTAAAATCTAATCATTACTGGTAGACCAGGCTAGTCAACAAATGATATATTCATACTACAGTATATGGAGGAAAGGCAATACTATATAATGATGGACCACAGATGGAAAATTCATTTATACTTATCCAATTTGGCAGCTCCACTTTCTCCAACCATCACCAATAATGTATACAAAAGGAAAAGAAAGCATGGACCTCAAAGAGTACTGGCAGGACCGTACATTGTACATAGATCGATAGACTTTGTATGTTATGACAATCGGGGACTATAGCTACAAAGCCGCTCCTCTTCATTGGCAACAATGGGCCAAGAAAATTATATGATACAACAAAAATTGAGAGGAGATATTTTATGAAACAATGTTAAATCTGTTACATTTTCCCACCTGAAAAAGGAAATTACCTGAAGAAAAAATAACATTTTGATCATCTTTCCAGAGCCAGTAAATTCGGTTGGAGTTACTGCTCTTATTAGAAGCCTAATTGAAATATTCCAAGGCTTCTGTCTGCCAGTCAATTGATATATACATGCAGAAGATTTTATCATGTCTTGTAAAATAGATTACGAAGGCAGTTAGGTATCATGCCACTTGAAGAACCATGACTTCTTGGTCTTGCAAAGAGTTCATTGGATTTTCAAAGCGGATTAATGTCAAATAAGCACAAACAGTTGCAATCTAACCTGTCAATATTTTAGAAGAAGACATCAATGATAAAATCTACAAGTGGGACTCAAATTGAACAAAACAACAAAACAGCAGAAAATGGAGAACTTATTTGAAGATAACAATATAGAGGTTGATGAGGCAGCAATGAAACTGGATATAACATTTCAGCCAAAGCATGTGACTGTTTCAACTTAAAGACTTGGTTTTGTAACTCTCTCTCTTTCTCTCTCTCTCTCTCTCTTTGTTTTGTGTGTATTGTGTGGAGGGGGGGTCCAGAAGTAAGGGATTTTGTCATGAAAATGGAAACTTGGGATAATAAAGACCAATAAAGAGAATAAAAGAAAAATTCCCTAAAATGTATAGCAGTTGCATAATGTGTTATATAAAAAAGCTTTTGCAATTATAATAAGGGAAAGAAGCATACCCAACTTTCCACTTTGAGTACTGTCAGTGGGAGGGCAACCGTCAAATGCCATCTTATGGTTCTTTTGTACTGTTTGAAAGCCATAAGGAAACATATTCATTGGCTGCAAGGCACAGTCAAGATGATAATCAGGAAAACCTACACAAATAAGAAATCTGCAAAAACAGTAACATTCAGTTGATGTAAAATATAGATAGGCTAACCTGAGCAGTTTGCATTTGCTGGAAACTCATATAATGTGCATACTGTTCTGGAAAATTAGAATTTTGCATCTGATTTTGAAAATTAATAGGATTCAACAATGGTGTTGGGCACATTGTTGATTGGTTTGGTGTGGAAGCTGAAGGTATAGCTTGATCAACAAGTGGGACCCTTGGTAATTGCATTGCACTGTGAATAGAAGGCAAAGGAGGTGGAGCCATTCCCATACCCATCCGTGATATGTAATTTTGGATTCCGGGAAACATCATTGGTGCCATCCCACTTCCCATCCACATTATCTAGTAAACAGTGAAAGAAGATAACATCTATGGTGAAAAATTAGCATTTAAGATTAAATATGTCGTAAGTTTGAATTCTGACCTGAAGCTGCAACTGGAGTGACTTCAAGTACTCAATCACCTCATCTAGCATGGATGCCTTGTCTGACTGTGGAATTATTACTACTTTAGTTTTAGACTGTTGAACGTATTATGGAAACTAGTTTGTAACATATAAAAAAAATTCACAACAGATAACAAAGAGACCCTTTTTTTCTCTTCTGTTTCTTCTTTCCCAGGTAAAATGTGATCAAAGAACAACCTAGAACATGGAAGTTTCGCATTTCCCCGTCTTTTCATGCACATGAAAAGCAGTGAAGAAAAACACATAATTCTTTGTTGTGTGCAATTGATTCTACTAGCAACATCAACTTCCTGCCTTCATTGATAGACTCAATGCATAAAAGAAATCTTTTCAAGCCCTACACAATTTAAATTGGATCAACTCTGTATAGCAATGATGCAACAGATAACACTGCTCACTAATTAATCGCTGATTCTTGCAAGAAGGCAAAATTGATCATGCTCACGGACAACTGCAAACTCAAAGTAATTTACCTTGTTACAGTAAGGTATTAGCTCTTGCAATGCCCTCATCTTATCATTGATTCTATCCCTTCGCCTCTGTACTATGAAAGGGCTACATTAAGAATATTGTCCATAACAGGCTATAAAATTCCATGATCGTCTTGAACCTACCCTCTCTGAAAGATTATGGACCTCAGCAGCACGGCTCCTACATGCAGATCCAGATCGTTGAGCTGGCTTAGTGGCTTTGTCTGATTCAAATTCCGCCTCCTACAGGTTTAGAAATAACACTTAAGCAGGTAAATCTAAATAACTTAACACACAGGAAATGAACAAATAAATACATAATCGAGAGAGAGAGGAGAGAGAGAGAGGGAGAGTTTCCACCTCACTTTGGCACTCAGATTCATCTGCATCTCTGCCCTTCCTCTTGTGGCTGGAAGTGCTCATGGATTCCTTGCCTGCTTTTCCGATACTACCCCCAGATCCACCAGAAGAAGAAGTAACAGTCCCATCTAATGTTCCTGTCTGCGTTCTTTTGCATTGAGGAAACATATTATGAACACACTCCTTGGCATTTCCTAGAAATACATCATTTGCACCAACCCAGTTGCTTGAAACCCGACTGAAATCAACCTCATTCAAGACTTGGTTGCTGCCACAGTGGCTTGACCCAACTGTCATAACTGATGACTCTCTAACCTCACTTATCACATTGCCTGATCCTTTTTGTTCAATGGGTTCGTTTGATGAGCCTAAATCAGCATTGCTTGCTCTTGAGAAAAGGGAAAAGTTTATGATTTTTCCACCTCCTTCAAAGTTGCATTGTTTCTGGGTCAAAGCAGGAATTTGCAATCTAGGAGGACAAATTGGGGTTTCAGCAAAATTTAGGTTGTTGGATTTTTTGACAGCAGGTTGTTCTGATCTTACAGCTGTAGTGCCAATAATAATATTGCTTTCCTCAGAAGCACCAAATTTAACTGGCTTGTCTCCTTCAAATTGATTGGTCTCCTCATCTGCATCACTTGAGTTAGAGTTGGGTAATTCACAGAAGAAATCAGAGCAGAACTCCTTTTCCAAAGAATCTTCAAACGGGAATTGGATCCATGAGGCAGTCTCATCATCTTGAATCAAATTGCTTGACTTTCCAAAAGACCCACAACCCTTGAAAGTTGATTGATCAGATTTCTGAAGCTGTCTCGATTCATTAGGTGCCAGACCTGGTTTCTTACGTGTTTGGCTGTGCAAAACTACCTGCCCATTTTGCCATAGAATCTCTGCTAGTCCATTATCGGGCCTGGAAAAGTAAGGCTGATTAAGTGAAGAACGCATAGTAGCAAATTTAACAAGAAAAATAAAACCTTCCTTCTCTTATCATTTTGGCAACAGAGAGATATGAAAGAAAATTTGTCGATACAAATACAATTTTGTGAGATACAGGTGTGTGGGTGGGTGGGAGAGAGAGAGAGAGTAACCCCATTGATTTTTTCTGGTTTGCCACAGGGAAATGATCGCCCTCCACATTCCAATTGGGAACACACTAATTCATGACAAGCCGAACAAACTTTCTGGACAACAGGAAAATTCAGGTAATAAAAATCAGAGCTTAAACCAAACAAGAAGTTTTGCCCATCTCAAGAAAAAAAAGGAAGAAACAAAACAAATAAGCCTACTTTAGTACAAAATCATTAAATCATTATTAAAAGCAACCGTATATTAAAGCTAAGAAGTACTTGTCTACCCTGTTCAAAAACTAAAATTTATGCAAATGACAATTTTAAAAAATGTCAAGCAACAAAATTAGCAATTAGCCTCACAAAAGAAAAAAACTATAGAAATAGAGAACAAGCTGTAGCTTCAAATTTCTCAAAAATGAGCCAAAAAAAGAGCAAATTCTATAATTAAATAAGGGGAAAAAAGATAATAAGTTGAAGTGCTAGCTCGAAAATAACCAAACAGAGCAAACGGGAACAACCCAGAAGGCAAATTATTAAAAGAAAAAGAATGTAAGGGGGAATATTTTAATGAAAAAAATCAAAATTCCTAACTTAAAGCAAACAAATCATACGAACAGTGGGAAGAATCACAGTATAAATTTGATGATAGAATCATTATAGAATGATATGAAATGAAAAAATAGCCTCAGATACCGGAAAATATACGTAACCCAGCCGCAAAATAATCCTGTTTATGAAGAAGAAAACTAAAAAAAAATAGAAATAGAACTAGAGGATATGACGGAGGAAAAAAGGATGATTTTCCAACATCCCGCCCTCAGAATAGAAGAAAACCAAGCCAAGACTCCTAAGTTGAGAAGCCACGAAACCCAATTGCAAGTGAATAAGCATAGTTTCCTCCCAAGTCGAAACAATTACTCCTTTCCCGAATAATAAAAACAGAAACCAAGATGATGAAATTAAGTAATCAAGACAAATAAATTAATTCACCTGATTCAGAACTACTGCATACCTCGAAAGCAGAATTAATCATCACTCATAGACACTCTCTCTGTTGCTCCGTTCGGACCGTTCCGTCTACGCTCGGAAGTACGAGTCTTGAGACAGAGCATTTAACTATAGTGAGAACAGACGACGTCAGGCACTCAAAAATGAAAGAAGCATTCCCCGCTGAATTATCTGACAATTATTTAAACTAGCCTTAAAATAGCTTCCTCTTGACCCTTTTTCCCAAAAGTACTGATTGCAGGATTTGATTTCACATCAACGCTGGAACAAACCAGCTAATACCGAGTCAGCCCTCACTTAAGTAGAGGGGATCAAGGATTAAAAGTACGTGTATGAGTATTAGGTACTGTATCGGATATAATTAGGTACTGTATCGGATATAATTACACTTTGCAAATATATGGATATAGATAAAAAATATGGAGATACTTGGATATGCTAGGAAATACCTATAAATTCTATAAATATATTAATAACATTATATTTAAGGTTAAATAACTATAATTAATGAATAAATATATATTATAATAGTATTTGTGAAGAAATATACTACAACTAACATAGTGAGATGCATAGAAATCATATAATTTTATTAATAATGCATCAATCTAGAATTCTAGAACATATTATAATACATGCACAAAAATATTATTATTCTATTTTCTATTGAAATGAAGGCACAAAAAAGTATTCAACTATTATATGTAAATTATTATATCATTTGCTTTCTATTTTATTATTTTTTAATTTTAATATTAATAAAAAAGTCAACTAAAAATTAATTATCAAATGTTTGGTAAACAATATTTTTATTTTTGTAAACAATAAAAACATTACTATAAAATTTAATTAAAATATCAATTAATAAATTATAAAAATACATAATATTAACTTAAAATATATCAAATATATTAAATTTTCTAAGATACATATCATATGCAAATTCATAATTATTAATTACTAAAATAGTTATTCCATTATTAATATTTTTATTCTATAAATTTTATGAAATAAAAAACCATTTTTTGAAATAAAAGTAGATTAATGGATTTGAAAAGTTCATTTTGTATTATATTCTCAAGCATTTTCTAAACAATATTTTTATTTTTGTAAATAATAAATATGTTTTTATTTAATGCAAACTAAAACATTAATTAATAATTTATAAAAATTTTAAGACACATATCATGTTCAAACTTATAAATTTTAAGTACTAAAATGATTATTTTATAATTCATATTTTTATTTGTATAGATTTCTTGAGATTAAAAATCACTTTTTCATATAAATGTTGATCTAAGAAATTATTTATTCCATTAGTTTAAAAAATATTAGTTTTGAATATTATTTTTTTAATCTTTAGTTGGAATTGTTGAACACAAATATGTGTTATTTGTTGTGATTACATGTGGACATTAGAATTGATAAAAAATATTTTATTTCATTTATTATCATAAGATAAAGGTTGGCTTAGTGGTTCAAAGGCATGTTTAGGCACCCCTCTCTCAAGATATAAATGACAACCCAATATGACAATCATTCAGGTTCTCAACTTTGCAAAACTCAAATTAATAAGGATGGGATTATAAAATTTGCGAATGGGATCCCTTCTATCATCTCCTAATCTCAGTTTTAAGGAAATGTTGTTAAGAATTAGGTACTAATATTCCCTAAATCCCCCACTTCTCTCCCTCTAATTCTGAGATTATGAGAAGCTTGAAGAAAAGATTTCATAGATTTAGAACTCCAATCTCAATCAATTCGAACTTAAATTACCAAAATATATGATATAAAACAACCAAATAACCAATAGTTAAGTAAAAGGAATTAGGAGTTAAGAAACCTACTTCTTTGATTATAGCCTTGTTTAAGTTTAATAGTAGCAATCTCAAAACCCAAGAATGACGTTTTGAGGAATTCGACTGAGAGGATGACTTGAAATTGTTCTTTGATGCAAGATAGTGGATATATGAGATGTAGGGGTGGACACGAGTCAAACTTTTCACAAGCCATTCGGGCTCAATTCGTTAAAAGCTCGGCTCAAATCGAGCTTCGAGCCGAATTTGAGCTTTATATTATATTCGTATAGTAATCGAGTTGAGCCCGAATGTTCTAAAGTTCGTCTCGTTAGGCTCGCGAGCCTAACAAGCTTATAAGTATAATTATGTATAGTTTATATTTTCATATATATATATATACATATATATTATACCTTTTCAAGAAATGTTATTCGTAATACTATTTTATAATGACAGTCCCTTATATACGGTGTAAATTCAAAAATCAAAAACCCTTCGACCTAACCTAACCCTTCGAAAGTTCAGTCTCCTGATCTCCTCTCCTCTCTGTTCTCTCTGCTCTCTCATCTCTCCTCTCCGAGTCTCCTCTCAACTCTTAAGCTCTCAAGCGGTCAAGCCTCAGCCTTTGACCAGTCGCTACTACCATAGCTCTGCCTCTCGCCTCTCCCCTCCTCTCAAGCTCTCCTCTCTCATGTCTCCTCTCCTCTCAGCTCTCAACTGTCAATCTCACAATCGCAGTCCAGAGACTCCAGACTCACAGGTCGCAGACTCTCAGCCGCAATCCATAGCCTATCCAGCCTCTCAAAGTCTAGCCTCTCACCGTCTCACACACTCACAAACAAGGACAGATTAGGTTTGCTTTCGTCTTCTTTTCATTATGTTCTAGGTTTGGGTTTTTTAGTTTTTTAGTTTTAGTTTTTATAGTTTTCTGCGATTTCAAATTAGCAAATGTTTATTTTTCATTAACATAGCTTGTTTATTATTACTTTTCATTAACAGGGGAATTATCAAATGTTTTTTTTTTTCAAGGCTTTTGGAAATATATTAACAGAGGAATTATATTTAGCTGACACTTGTTTATTCCACTTCTTTTGTTTTTTTAACAAAATCTTGTGTCAAAACTCATATATGGTTTAGGCATTTAGCTCTTCTGCAAGTGCAAGCTAAATAGTTGTATCATGATGAATTATTTTGACACATGTGCACCAGCCACACTTAAAGTTGAATGGCAGGTTGACAGTACTTGAATTAATTCATTTTGTTTCTTAAAATATATCATTAGAATACAAGAAAATAATTGTATTATGATGAATTATTTATGAAATGTGTTTTTTTTTTTCCTTTTATGATTTGTTGAGGTATGCAGCAATTAGCAAAGTTGAAAACTGTTGAGTGTTGACACCATCAAGCTTTATATACAAAACCCATTTAAAGCCACTTCCCAATCTGAATGTCTACAAAAAGAATAAATTAATGAATACTGATAAATTAAAAAAAGAATGAATAAATGAATGAAAGAAGAATTTTTTCTACAAATACTTATGGTGTTGACTCCAAACTTAATAAGGTGCCAACTCCTAGAGAAACCTAGCGGTTTCGACTCCATTAGAAACCTAGTGCATCCTCTAATATTGCCCTACTCTTTTCTTTTCTTAATCTTAAGTCTTCACTCCCTTTCTTAAATATTAAACAACATAGTCCAAACCTGTTCAACTTATTAATTTAAACAAAATTGATCACAAGGTATCTTGTTGTGTAGGAACACCATCATCCCCTATCCATGATCACAATGTTTCATCAACAAATGTTCCTTCAACCTCAATAGGACCCTCACCATCTCATTCTATGTCTGGTCCTTCCCCTATAATCATGGTTGACTTTGCTGATGACTCATCTCCAAATGAGACAAGTCAAACAACAAATAATGCAAGCAATCCCTTTGACACTCCTTCTACCACAGATGGTACTTAGATTGAATCTCAGAACCCTATTGAAGAAGACGATCCAATACAAAAATCAAAAAGACAAAAAACGTTAGATGTATGGAAGGAACTCAAAGAGGTTGAAGTTGTTGATGGAACAAAGAAGGCGTAGTGTGTCCACTGTAAGAGTAAATTATCTATACAATCTACTGGGGCAACAAGTCACATGGCCCGACATTTAAAAACATGTATATCAAGAAAAGAGGTTCAAAAAGTTGAAAAGCAACGGAAGCAACAAATGACCTTGAATTTCCAACCAATGGATTCCAATGTTGATGTAGACATTGTAGGCCCTCCTCTTTTGGATACTTCTATTGCTGCAAAGTATGACCATTCCAAAATGAGGGAAGCAGTTGCTCATTGGGTGCTTATGCATGAGCATCCATTTACTGTAGTGGAAGAGAACGATTTTAATTTCATGATGAAGATGTTTAATCCTACTTTTGAGAAGACCTCTCGTAAGACAATAAAGAATGATTATGTAGCTGTGTATGATGATCAAAAGAAGAAATTGAAAAATCTTTTAAAGGGTATTTCAAAAATTAGCATCACCACTGACCTTTGGAAGTCATAAAACCAAAGGAGAGTATATGGTGATAACTGGTCACTTTGTAGATGCTAATTGGAGGTTACAGAAGCGTGTTCTCAATTTTGTCCATGTTTCTCCACCTTGTCATGGGGTTGATATTGCAGATGACATTTATAAATGTTTAAAAGAGTGGGGACTCAAGAATAAGGTGTTTATAGTTTTTGTGGATAATGCATCATATAATGATTCTTGTTTGAGGTTTTTGAGAGAGATCTTTTCTAGGAATAGGAGGTTGCTTTGTGTTGGAAAATTGTTTTATGTTCGATGTTGTGCACGTATTCTGAATTTGTTGGTTTAAGATGGTCTTTGTGAAATTGGTCACATCATAGAAAATGTTCGTGAAAGTGTCAAATACATTAACCAATCTGAGGCTAGGAAACAAACATTTTCTGAAATTGTACAACAATTATGACTTGGTACAAAGAAGTTCGTTACTGATTGTCCTATCCGTTAGAATTCAACATTTGAGATGCTGTCATGTGCTTTGAAATTCAAAGATGTGTTTCCAAGATTTCAAGAAAGGGAACCAAATTATGACTATTTGCCAACTCTTGAAGAATGGTAAAAGGTGGAAAAAGTATGCGAGGTACTTGAAGTTTTCAATGTAGTCACGAACATTATTTTGGTAGTGAGTATCCTATTTCTAATTTGTACCTCAGTGAGATATATAGGGTGAAAGAAATTTTAAACTTGAAGGCAATGGATAAAAATGATTTCATTAGAAGGATGGTTGGAAAGATGAAGGAGAAGTTTGATAAGTATTGGGGTGAAACTATTCAGAAACTGGTTGAGATGTGTTTTCCAGAAATCTATTCAGAAACTGAAACTAGAAATAACATTGAGCAAGTTCGAGTTGCTTTGTACCAACTTTATATGAGTATGTAGCTGCTTATAATGCTAGTAGTGAGCAATCATCCACTCAAGGGAATGGTAGCAATAGATCTTCAAATTCTAGTTCCAATTCTCAGTTATCAACAAGCTTAGGATGGTCAAAGTTGATGAATTATGTGAAGAGAGTTGAGACCATTACATCACCAAAATTAGAGTTGGATATGTATCTTGAGGAAGGTGTATATATTTGTGAGGATGAAAGGTCACATTATGAGTTTAATGCTTTGGAATGGTGGAAGGCTAATAATTTGAATAATTGGGTGTTGTCGAAGATGGCGGCTGAGATTCTTGCCATTTTAATATCAACAGTAGCTTCAGAATCTACATTTAGTGTTGGTGGTAGGGTAATTGATCCCTATCGTGCATCCTTAGCTCTAGAAACCGTTCAAGCTCTGATTTGTGGAGGGGATTGGATTTCTATGTTTCATGGGGTGAAGAAAAAACAAAAGGTATATTACACTAACTTCTATTTTTTTGCTTAGTGATTATTAATTTATGCTTTGATTTGTTTATCAATGATTTAATTTTGGTCCTTTTGCATGTTTGTAGGTGGACAAAAAGCCAATTGAGATACTTCTACCCATTTCTTAATGATGTAAGCATTGGGTAGATTGTTTGGATGCCAATGAGTTGTGGCCATGTTGATCATTGTTGTGGTATATTAGAATATTTGGGTTGTGGATTTTTTGAGTTGTTTTATGGATTTTTGAGTGCATCAAACCATTGAACTTATTACCTTTTTGAACTATTGAACTTATTTGATGGTTTGTTAACCCCTTTTCTAGTAGATCAAAATTAGTTGGCATTCTTTTTGAATTGGATTTTCTTAGTTTTGTTGATTTGGAAATTAGATGTTCTTAAGTTATTTGCTTAAATTTTTAGATGCTTCATGCTTGCATAAGTTGAGAAGCTTCGAAAAGCAGGTTATTCTCGGTTCATCTATCCTATATTCAAGTGTTTTTGTTTTTTTTTTTTTGCTTTTTTGTTTCTAATCTTTTTATTGTTTCAGATTGGGACCCCTCTAGAAGAGAGGGAGAGAGAGAGAAAGAGGGTGTTGCCTATGGAGGGGACCCTTCAAATTTGCGTGAACCACCATTTCAACAAGATGACAAAGATTGTGAACCAGGTATTTTTGAGTTCAATTTTTATTTTTATTATGGTTCATCTATTTTTAATTATGGTTCAGCTTTTCCTATTTATTTGAACAATTAAAGGAGTATGGGAGTTGGATAAAAAAAATTAAAATAAGGTCCACAACTAAGATAGTAAAGTGATCATTTGAATTCATGAGCATGTTCAAGGATTTTTCTTTATCTTTATTGCAGAAAGAACAAGAAAACTATGGTTTGGTGCTGACCTAGATCCTTTCTATTAAAATAAGGTCCACTGGATTTGTGAGAGGTAGTCAACATAATTCAGCCTTAATCCTAAGTCCTAACCATTTGGAGTCTGCTAGGACTGGTTTCATCATGACTTGTAATAATGCTAAAATTGAATAAACTTTAAACCATGAGTCTAGAAAATAATAACATTTGGCAAAAGGAAGTAGTGAAATCAAGCCAACCTGAATGAAACCTGATCCTAACCCAACATAATGTTTTAAGGTTGGATCTGGGTTAGGCAACTGCTCATTTGGTTAGGGATGTCTTAATCAGACCTAACCTGAACCGACTTAATCCCCTACTCATGATAAGTTGTCTAGTCTGTTGTGTATGATTTTGTCTCTGGCCCATCCAGTTCCCATCTAATTTCATGTTAGTAATGGCTTAATTGAATGTGATTACCACAGTTATCTACATACCAAGAAGAGCTAAAAGAAATGAAGGGCCTGTCCAGAGAAGAATACATTGGATAATCGAGAAGGTAATTTCAACAGTTACTAAAAAGAATTCCAAATTTGCTGAATAACTGAGGTGTTTATATGGATTGAATTTGCAGGAAAAGTAGTGGGTTTTCCAGGGGAGTTTCAAAATACCGTGGGTTTGCAAGGTATTTATGGAATTAAAGGAATAACAACTCTCTCTCTCTCTCTAGATCTATATTTATCTATCTATCTACGTATCTACATTTCTTTTCTATCCCACCAACTCCAACTATTTAGAAATCTCCTCTAATGTGGAAAGTTCCTACTGTAAAGTTCTAACTTCTCATCAAATTAACAGTGTACTTCACAAGGACTATGGTACCTACTATACATTCAAAACATAGTACATTTGGCAAGGAACATTTACTAACAGCTTCACATGTTAGGTTTTGTTCTTTTTTATGTTTGTCAATTAAATTGATTTGGAACAGGAGAATTATTCAACCAAACAGCAAGGCCAAAGTACCCCCCCAACCATGTAGGATTCTGTACTACTTCTTTATGGGATTCTGTACTCTTGGCAACTGATGTTCACTTTGCAGACATCACCATAATGGAAGATAGGAAGCTCAAATTGTCCCAGTTGTAACAAATACCTTTACCTTGGAACATTTGGTAATTCCTTCTAAACCCTTTATTTACTTAACAACCTCCCTCTCTCTCTCTCAACAAGATTGCGAAAGAAAGAAGGTTTTATTTTTTTTTTCTTCACTTGCTCTGAATATAGACTTTACTCTCATTTGGGACATGAGAGCTCCTGCTACTTGAATTTAGGTGGTCCTGACTTGTCATTGTTCTTGGCAGCTAAAGGATTTTGAGTTTATCAAAGTTTTCCACCTAGAACCTATGCCATTTGACATGGAGCGTGATCTTCTCACCGTAACATACAAGAAGAAGAGGCCTCAATTACTCAAGTACTACCAGGTTAGTTTCTTGCCCCTTTCTTGGAATTCCAAAACGTTCCCCTAATTCTAAATTGATGGGAGATCTGCCTAGAGTTTTAATTTCCATCATGGCCGAAAATTCACAATAGTTCGGCGCAAGGACAGATGGCACCATTAGACGTGTTAATGAGGTAAGTCATGCTAATTTAGAAAATTAGATTTCAGATTTAACTGCTTTGGTTAAGCAACTGGCTGTAGGACAATTGCAAACAGCTAAAGTGTGGCATCTATTCGATCCCTGGTCATCCTATGGACATGTGTCCATCACTACAGTAGGATTGATGCAACAAGTGCCGTAGGAGGATTCCCAGGTCAGCCTCAACACAATTATGACCCCTACTCCAATTATTACAATCCGGGGTGGAGGGATCATCCAAATCTAAGTTACGAGAACCAAGGAGGACGGTAGAATTATCAGCCCCAATTTTCAGCACCTATCACAGTGCAAGGCCAACCCTCAAATTCAGGTATGTCATTAGATGAAATAGTTAAGGCTCTAGCTACTAACACTCAGCAATTTCAGCAGGAAACAAGAGCTAGTATTTAGAATTTGGGGAACCAAATCAGTCAACTTGCCACTTCTATTAGTAAGATGGAGGCGTAGATCTCTTGGAAACTACCATCACAAACGGTAGTCAACCCAAAGGAGAATGCAAGTGCAGTAGTGTTGAGAAACGAAAAGGAGTTGCAGCCCCAATCGAGCTCACCATCGAATGCAGCTAAGGGAGACAAGGAAGATGAGAGACACGGGTCAAACGAATGCCCCATTGAGGTAATATCCAACCCCCCTCTCCCTAAGGTTACTAATGCTATTATACCACCTTTTCCTAGTAGGTTGGAGAAGTCCAAGAAAGAGGAATATGAGCAAGAGGTGCTAGAAACTTTCAAGAAGGTGGAAATCAATATCCCTTTGTTAGATGCTATAAAACAGATCCCAAAATATGCAAAATTTTTGAAATAATTATGTACTAACAAAAGGAGGTTGCGAATTGATGAGAAGGTAAGAGTTGGAGAGAACGTTTCAGCCGTGATCAAGAGGACCTTACCAGAAAAACATGCTGATCCAGGTATATTCATCTTTCCTTGTGTGATTGGCAATAAATGAATCGAGCGTGCCATGTTAGACTTAGGTGCATCTATCAATGTCATGCCATACTCGATTTACTGTGCCTTGAGATTAGGTCCTTTAAAAGAAACTAGAGTTGTTATTCAACTAGTTGATCGTTCTAATGCCTACTCGGAAGGGATTGTTGAGGATGTATTGGTGTAGGTTAATGATTTAATTTTTCCAGCCGATTTTTACATCCTGAAAATGGAGGATACAGTCACAAGTTCAGCTCCACTTTTATTAGGCAGGATTAATGAAAACGGCAAAGACCAAAATAGATGTGGATGAGGGTATCCTCTCCATCGAGTTCGACGGGGAAATTATTAAATTTAATATTTTTGAAGCAATGAAGTACCCCAATGAATGTTATTTGATTTGTTCGGTTGACACTATTGATTCAATTGTGCAGGAAGTTTTTGAAGAAGATATGAATGAGGAGCTCGAACTGAGTGCACAATTGGATACGAAGGCCCCTATTCCAGATTTGAACCCACCCATGATGGATGAAAGGGGAGAACATCGAAAACTGCATCTACGAGAATTAGAGGATCTGATTCAGGATTTTTAAAAATAGGGAAGTTTGTTTTTCTTTTTTCTTTTTTGTTTTTACATTTATAGTTTAGTTTTTCTATCATTTCTTTGCATTTAACCTCACATTGGGGACAATGTAAGTTTTAAGTGTGGGGGAGGGGATTTAGGTTGCGTTTTAAAATTTGATTTAAGTCGTGTTTTTTTGCATTTGTTTTTCAAAAAAAAAAAAAAAATCAAAACCTCAACTCTTTTGAAATCAATTGAAGCAATGTTGTAGGGAAATTCTTGTGAACCTAGTAAAGAAATATGATCAAGGAGTACATGACTTATCTGAAGCCATTTCCAGTTAAGGTAGTCCTAAATTCTGGTTTAAGTAAATAGGGTAAATACTTCACCATTGCCACAATTGGTAGGATGGAGCATAAAATGCGCCTACCGGTCAATTTATCTGATGGTAGGATGGAGCATAAAATGCACCTACCGGTTAAGTAATCTGATGGTAGGATGAAGCATAAAATTTACTTACCCGCCAAGTCATCTGATAGTAGGACAGAGCATAAAATGCACCTACTATCTAGCAATTCAAATAGTAGGATGGAGCATAAAATGCACTTACTGACCAAGTAATCCAAAAGTGAGATGGAGCATAAAATGCACTCACTTCTTTAGATGAGAGAAAAAGAAAATAAAAAGAGAGAAGAGAAAGAGGTTTTCCCTGATTTACTACTCGGTTTGCAGTAGCAAAAAATTGGATTGACTGATGAATGAGTCGTGTATGACTTGATTGTGTTGATTTAACAGTTCACAATATTTAACCTATAATATTTGTGGAGAAAGATGAAGGAGAGTTGAGTTTAAAAAATCAGTAGATAATTTGTTTGTTTTTGCTTGTGTTTTGTCTTGCCCGAGGACGGGCTGTTAGACAATTTTGTATGCCTTTAGCTTCAATCAGAATGATGTACTTTTTGAGTTTATTGTAAATGAATAAAAGTGCATATTTGATTCATGTTCCCTTGGTATATTTCTGTGTAATACCCTTAAAGTAGATGCTTAATGAGACTCGTGTTAGTTTAGAATGTTTACAGCCAGTGAGTCGGTCTAGGAAGACCTATCCTGATAAGGCTGACACTGTGGTGCCACCAAGTCGGTTGGGGTGGTCTGTCTCAGCTGCCAGGGTGAGTCCCTAGGCACATACAGTGTAGGATTAATTAAATCTATGAACTGGACCAGATTTTCAGTATTGCCCTGGACCTTAGAGATTGATGGGTAAAACTGGAAAGATACACTCGACCCCTAGACTCGATTATGATACTGCACTATGTGTCGGATTTGGCTGTCTTTAATGTATCAATCAGTGAGATCCTTAGTGGGGGTCAAAACCTGGGTATGTTGGGATAGTTTGAGAATTTATCTGAGTGGGTAATCATAATGACAAGATCAGCCCCTTTGTCGGACAAAGGTAATGATCGAGGATGCACTCTCATTGATGGAAACCAAGATTGTCGGCAGCCGATTTCAATCGTTGAGATTTATTTTATAAAGTATATTTTATATGAGATATAAAAGTATATATATTATAGTTTGTAAAATGTTTGCAAGAAGGTTTTAATTCCCGGGATCCATATAAGTAAAGAGTGCAACACTGTTCCTTGCAACCGAGGGAGAGGTCATCTCTTGTTGGGCAGTGTATGATTATTATGGGTTGAGAGGTTAAGTGTAAGACCATTGAGGATAATACTTGATGGGCTAATTTTGCATCTGTCCACAGTTCTTGGATGTTATAATGTGGCTTGGCCCAGGGACCACTTAGGGTAAGTGTTGGGCCCATAAAGCCCATTTGATGGGTTTCAGGGGGTGCACTGTCCATAACAGTGTATTCAGCTAGGCCTAGTAACAAAGGCTGGGCCGAACCCATGTGACTGATGTGTAGATCAATGCTTGGGTCCCATGCCATACAAGGAAGTCCAACTGGGCAATAGTTAGGAAGGTTAAGTGAGCACATAAGCTTAATGAACCTAAAGCCCATTTCGAACTGGACTTATTTAATAAGTTAAATATGGGCAAATTCTGAGATGGGTCAGTAGATAGGATAAGGTCTTAACCCTATCCACTCAGAGAGTCCAGATCTGAATATGATTCAGATCTAGAARCCTCSTAATGAGATTAKRAGARRGYTGATCTAATCTACAGATAAGATAAGGGTTTATCCTTATCACCTAAAGAGAGGTCTGATCCAAATATGATTTGGATCAGCAGCTCCGAATGGGATTAGGAGCTGATTATTTAGGTTTACAAAAGGAGGGGGCGGCAACCTTTAGAAGAATCATATAATAAGATCCTCTTCAGAGCTAAAATTAGAGAAAAAGATTTCTGCAATCCCTGCAAAGATCTTTCTTGCCGCCTCCTTCCTACAGCCGCCAGGCATCCAGTTCGATCTCCAATTGTGGGAGAAGTCAATATTCGATTTTGACATCAGTTCTTTGAGAAAGAATTGATAGGAAGCTGTTTCTTGCGAAGGACAAAATTCTTGGTGAAGAATACTAGTAATTCTGCTCCATCATGCACTGTGCCATCTTCAGTGGGAGCAGTCTTTGGATCATTTCTTGGGCGTGAACACTTTCGTTGGGGGATACTATTTCTCTATATCAGGTATAATCCTCTCGTACTCCTTTTGGTTCATATTTGGTTCAGTTTATGGTTCAAGAATGATCATTGAAAATATGATTTTCTAAATAGGGAATGCAATTCCCAGTTGAAGGGAGAGAAATTTTTGAAATTCGCCCCTTTATTCCGCAAGATTTGGGCGCCCATATGATGAATCTCTCATCCCTTTATGGGCAAGGTTTAAGTGTAGGGGGATTTGATGAGACAAAAAAGAACCCTATTTTTATTCCCTAATATTCACTCTTTTACATTAATTTAGCACTTAAGTGAACTCATTACTCTTGTATTTCGATTCAGGGCAAGCAAGAAGGCAATTGGAAGAAAACAAGGCAAATCGGGTGATTTTGCATAGTTTCGGCAACAGTCAGTAATCTCGGCTTAACTCTCAATTCCGGACTTCGATTTGGACAATTCAAGAGGCATTAGAAAGATGAAAAAAAGACCCATAACTTTTATATTTTAGGTTTTGACAGATTCGGTCCGCATCGAATACCAAACCGGCCTTGAAGTTGGAGCAAGTTTGTAGCCAGGCCCATTTCACAACTGAAGCCCAACTCGCAGAACCTTGAAGCAACCCAAGTTAGCAAAGCAGCCCAACCCGAATTCAAGAGCCTAGAGTCCCAATTTCGAATGTAATCTCCAGAAAGAAAGTCTTATCAGATTTAAAGTTTTGAATGTAATCCTTAAAAGATAAGATATTAAGATTACTGGATAGGATATGATAGAAGTAGATCAGACTAGGATTTTCTAATTTTAAAGTTAATCTCCTAAAGGGAGTTGGAGAGAGCCCCTCCTCCTAAAGCTATATAAAGGGTGGGGGGGACCAGCTTTAGGAATCACTCACTCCAAGATCCAAGAGATCATCAAGCTACCAAGAGAGCAGTTCGGCCATAGAGAAGAAACGCATGGAGGGTTCGAAGATCATGAGCAGCTAAACTTCTCTTTTCTGGTTCAAGGGGGGAGGTTCGATTGAGTCATTGTGAGATTTTGTATTTAATTTAAGTTATTGTTTTCTAATTCAAGTATTCATTGATTCTTGTGCATATTTTCATTGGATGTTAATGTTAATTAGTCTGACAAATTGAATTAATGTTGATTTTCCTACTGCTATCCATGATTTCGGTGATCCGTAATTGTCACGAATAGTGGTACAAGTAGCAATTAGGTTAATATCTTTTTGGATTAATTGTTTGTGACATCCTTTGACCAAAGTATTGACATGGTTTAACCTAAGGGAATCAATGGAACAAGATTTGATAGTTGCAGCTATCTCAATTATTGTTGTTTTGGTTTAACTGTTTTCACAAAGCTTAATGCTATCACTAATTGATATGGAACGCTATCGTACCCAGTCAATTAGTGATAAGTGTTGATTGAATGCTGGGTTTGGTCAGATGATTTAGGAAAACATAAGGTTTATTATGGCTATCCTAATAAATCTAAGGTTAAAAGCTTGAATTGCAAGATTACCAGGGATACCTATGATTGATGGTCAATTGGCTAAACTGAACCCCTGAACCAGAATTCGGTAAGACTGATTTCTCTTGTTTGTTTAAGTTTGCTATTTCTTCTTTTATTTTCAGTATTTAATTTTCCCACTCAGTTATATTATTCATTCGGCTGAGAGATTATTGTTTAGCTCCTTGTGGGATTCGACCTAATACCACTTTTACTACAAACATTTTATTGTGGGACTAGCACTAATTTTGAGGGCTTCAACAACCCATCACTAATAGATGACTCATTTCAAATGTTCTCTATCTTTGCAATTCTGCATGCTTTTTCCTTAGCCATTCAGAATTTGTACCCAACATGTGTGATTTCCCTTGATTGGGTCTATATGGCAAACCATCAACTCATGCTTGGACGGACATAGAACAAAAGTTCACTAAATGAGGGATTTAAAATCAAAGAAGAATACCGTAGGAAAAGGGCTTGGATCATCTAATTGTCATTTGTTACATGGTTTGTTTAATTCTTTCCCATTGAAGAAGCCCTTGGATTAAATTGTTTACTTTAAGGTAAGATGCATGCATAAGAAAAGTGGAAGAGATGGAGTGATTACAAAATTTATTTTTTCAAAAGTTTTTTATTTTTCCAAATAGTGTTTTAGAAAGTTCAAATTCGAGCTTGAACACATACATTCTGTACTCGAGCCAAACTCGAGCCTCCATTTTTTATTTGAATCGAGCTTGAGCCTGAGCTCGAGCCTTGCAGTTTCCTACCAAACCAAGCTCGAATACTTAATTATTCAGCTCGGCTCGGCTCATAGCCACCCTTAATGAGAGGGTTTTTGTCTTTCTTAAAGGTTAGGATGTGAATGTAGGGAGAAATAGGGCAATTTTGGCAAATTCTACCAAGAGATTTGGAATTTTCTTAGATTTTTGTTAAAACTAGTTGGGGATTCGAATAGGGTTCTCTCGTTTGTTTTTTCCTCTCTAATGTCCACCCTCAGAGCTCAAAAACCATCTTATTTATAAAGAAGAAAGGTTAGAGCAAGTCTGAGACAAATCACCACATATCTAGGGTTTTAGAGAAGCTAAAACATGTAAGAAGGCTCAAAATATCAATCTATCATTCTTTTTCAGAAGATCTCTAGGGTTTTATCAGTCAATCCAAGATTTCAATGATTTTCTTTAGTTTTCTCATCCCTAGTGGTGTTGTTTTCAAATCTATTCATGTTAGGTTTGAATCTGACATCTCAGTAGCAAAAACTGTAAATCTGAGATGGCTATAATGGCTCTTATGTCAATTTCTAGGTTCAAGAGGGGTTACTTTGGGATCTCAATTGGCTATGGATTGAGAAATGGGTAGAAGTATAAAAAACTGTAAATCTACCCAAAGCTCGAAGCATCATTAAGAAATGGGTAGAAGTATCTCAATTGGCTTTTTGTCCACCTACAAACATGCAAAATGACCAAAATTAAATCATTGATAAACAAATCAAAGCATAACTTAATAGAGTACCACTAAGCAATAATAAATAGAAGTTAGTGTAATATATCTTCTGTTTTTTTCCTCACCCCATGAAACATAGGAATCCAATACCCTCCACAAATCATAGCTTGAATGGTTTCTAGAGCTTAAGATGCACGATAGGGATCAATTACCCTACTACCAGCACTAAATGTAAATTCTGAAGCTATTGTGGATATTGGAATAGAATCTCAACCACCATCTTCGACAACACCCAATATTTCAAATTATTAGCCTTCCACCATTCCAATGCATTGAACTCATAATGACCTTTCATCCTCACAAATATATACACCCTCCTCAAGGTACATATCCAACTCTGATTTTGGTGATGGAATGGTCTCAACTCTCTTCACATAATTCATCAACTTTGACTATCCTGAGCTTGTTGATAACTGATAATTGAAACTAGAATTTGAAGAAGATTTATTGCTACCATTCCCTTGAGTGGATGATTGCTCACTACTAGCATTATAAGCAGCTACATACTCATATAAAGTTGGTACAAATCTCCTCGAACTTGCTCAATGTTATTTCTAGTTTCAGCTTCTGAATAGATTTTTGGAAAAAACATCTCAGCCAGCCTTAGTTTGCACCTCGGATCCATGACGGAAGCCACAACCATTAACAGATTACATTCACCCCAATACTTATCAAACTTCCCCTTCATCTTTCCAACCATCCTTCTAATGAAATCACTTTCATCCATTGCCTTCAAGTTCAAAATTTCTTTCACCCTGTATATCTCACTGAGGTAAAAATTAGAAGTAGGATAGTCACTATCAAAAATAATGTTCGTGACTACATTGAAAACTTCAAGTACCTCACATACTTTTTCCACATTTTTCCATTCTTCAGGCGTTGACAAGTAGTCATAGTTTGGTTTCCTTCCTTGAAATCTTGGAAAAACATCTTTGAATTTTAAAGCACATAACAACATCTGAAATGTTGAATTCCAACGGGTAGGAAAATCAATAATAACCAACTTCTTTGTACCAAGTTGTAATTGTTGTACAATTTTAGAAAATGTTTGTTTCCTAGCCTCATATTGGTTAATGTATTTGACACTCTCACGAACATTTTCTATGATGTGACCAATTTCACCAAGACCATCTTGAACCAACAAATTCAGAATATGTGCACAACATCGAACATGAAACAATTTTCCCTTACAAAGCAACCTCCTATTCCTAGAAAAGATCTCTCTCAAAAACCTCAAACAAGAATGATTATATGATGCATTATCCATAGAAACTGTAAACACCTTATTCTTGAGTCCACACTCCTTTAAACATTTATAAATGGCATCTACAATATCAACCCCACAATGAGGTGGGGGAACATGGACAAAATTGAGAACACGCTTCTGTAACCTCCAAATTAGCATCTACAAAGTGACCAGTTATCACCATATACTCTATCCTTTGGTTTTGTGACTTCCAAAGGTTAGTGGTGATGCAAATTTTTGAAATACCCTTTAAAAGATTTTTCAATTTCTTCTTTTGATCATCATATACAGCTACACAATCATTATTTGTTGTCTTTCGAGAGATCTCAAAAGTAGGATTACACATCTTCATCATGAAATTAAATCCTTCCTCTTCCACTATAGTAAATAGATGCTCATACATAAGCACCCAATGAGGAATTCCCTCATTTTGGAATGGTCATACTCTGCAACAATAGAAGGATCTAAAAGAGAAGGGCCTACAATGTCTACATCAACATTGGAATCCACAGGTTGGAAATTCAAGGTCATTTGTTGCTTCTATTGCTTTTCAACTTTCTATGCCACTTTTCTTGGTATACATGTTTTTAAATGTCGAGCCATGTGACTTGTTACCCCAGTAGATTGTATAGATAATTTACTCTTATAGTGGACACACTATGCCTTTTTTGTTCCAATAACAAGTTCAAGCTCTTTGAACTCCTTCCATACATCTAAAGTTTTTTGTCTTTTTGATTTTTCTATTGGATCATCTTCTTTAATAGAGTTATGAGAATCAATCTAAGTACCATTTGCAGTAGAAGGAGTGTCAATGGGATTGCTTGCATTTTTTGTTATTTGACTTGTCTCATTTGGAGATGAGTTATCAGCAATGTCAACCATGATTATAGGGGAAGCACTAGACACAGAATGAGAGGGTGAGGGTCCTATTAAGGTTGGGGGAACATTTGTTGATGAAACATTGTGATCATGGATGGCATTCCTACACAACAAGATACCTTGTGATCAATTTTGATTAAATTAATAAGTTGAATAGGTTTGGACTATGTTGTTTAATATTTAAGAAAGAGAGTGAAGACTTAAGAGTAAGATAAGAAAAGAGTAAGGCAATATTAGAGGATGCACTAGGTTTTTAATGGAGTCGGAACTGCCTCTAGGAGTTGGCACCTTCTTAAGTTTGGAGTCAACACCATAAATATTAGTAGAAAAAAATCTTTTTTTTTAACAAATAGAAGAAAAATTCTTCTTTCATTCATTTATTCATTCTTTTTTTTTAATTTATTTCATTAATTTATTATTTTTGTAGACATTTAAATTGGGAAGTGGCTTTAAATGGGTTTTGTATATAAAACTTGATGGTGTAAACACTCAACAGTATTCAATTTTGCTAATTGTTGCATACCTTACCAAATCATAAAAGGAAAAAAAAAGACATTTCATAAATAATTCATCATAGTACAATTATTTTCTTGTATTCTAATGATACATTCCAAGAAACAAAATGAATTAAATCAAGTACTGTCAATCTATTGTTCAACTTTAAGTGTGGCTGGTAGACATGTGTTAATATAATTCATCATGATACAACTATTTAGCTTGCACTTGCAGAAGAGCTAAATGCCTAAACCATATATGAGTTATGACACAAGATTTTTTTCGAAAAAAAAGTGGAATAAACAAGTGTTGGCTGAATATAATTCCTCTATTAATATACTTCCTAAAGTATTAATGAAAAAAAACATTTAATAATTCCCCTGTTAATGATTAGTATCGCTATAAAATAATAAAAAAGCTCTATTAATGAAAAATAAACATTTGCTAATTCAAAATCTCAAAAAACTATAAAAACTAAAACTAAAAAAATTGAAAAACCTAAACCCAGAACAAAATGAAAAGAATACAAAAGCAAACCTAACCTGTCCTTATTTGTGAGTGTGCGTGAGACGGTGAGAGGTTGGACTACGAGAGGCTGTGGCATATGGCTGAGAGTCTGTAACCAATGGGCTATGACTGTGACCTGTGAGTTTGGAGTCTCTAGGCTGCGACTGTGAGCTTGACAGTTGAGAGCTAAGAGGAGAGGAGAGACGAGAGAGGAAAGCTTGAGAGGAGAGGAGAGACAAGAGGCAGAGCTATGGTGGTGGTGACTGGTGAAAGGATGAGGCTTGACCGCCTGAGAGCTTGAGAGTTGAGAGGAGACTCAGAGATGAGAGATGAGAGAAGAGAGGACAGAGAGGAGAGGAGATCAGGAGACTGAACTTTTGAAGGGTTTTTGATTTCTGAAATTGCACCGTATATAAGGGACTATCATTATAAAATAGTATCACAAATAACATTTCTTGAAAAGGTATAATATATATATGAAAATATAAATTATATATAATTATATATATAAGCTCGTTAGGCTCTTGAGTCTAACGAGCTGAACTTCAAAATACTCAGGCTCGGCTCGATTACTATATGAATATAATATAAAGCTCGAATTCGGCTTGAAGCTCGATTTAAGCCAAGCTGAGCCGAGCTCAAATGGCTCGTGAAAAGCTCGACTCATGTCCACCCCTATTCATTCCATACCTCCCAATAACCCTTAGCTTGACTAATGACCAAGAAAGATTCCCCATATTCTTCTTGTTCATCAAATTCAAGTGTCATTTGGACAACTCTTAAGCATACATCCCAATCACATTTATTGTTGGTCTTAGAGAAATCTAAGCAAATAACCAAAGGAAAGTGGGTTCCTTTAGGGTCTATAAGGATCATTCTTGTTTCCCATCTTCTTTGATTTAAAGGCCTATTAAAATATTCCTTCCATTTGCTTTCAACTTGTATCTCCAAAATGGTCTCATCTAGATAAACTATGGGGATTGTTTCATACCCCATGGTAGGATTATCAGCTAAATGGTCTGTGATGACTTGCCCCTTAATTGCCTCTTATGTCACATACTTGATGTCATATTCAGAAATAAGCATGATCCATTAGGAGACTTGACTAGTGATTGCGGGTCATTTAAACATGTAATTGATGGAGTCCATTCTATATATAAGTAACATTAATGGACCAATAAGTAATGATGTAACTTTTTATAGGCCCAAATGAGGGATAGACATGATTTCTCTAATATAGTGTACTTCACCTCATAGTCATAAAACTTTAGACTTATATAGTAAATGGATCTTTCCTTTTTCCTTCTCTTGTCATGTTGCCCTAGTATGTAGCTAACAAAATCCTAATGTGTTGAAAAATACATAAGTAAGGGTCTTCTAGGCTTGGGAAGAACTAGAATTGGGGGATTGGCCAGGTATTTCTTAATTTTGTCAAATGCTTCTTGAAATCCTCATTCCGTATTGCTGGATATTATTCCTTGGCAACTTGAAAATTGGCTTACAAATAGGTGTAAGTTGTGCCATGAGCCTCATAACATATTGTAATTTGCCCAAAAGCTTTTAACTTCCTTTTCAATCTAAGGATGAGACATATCAACAATTGCTTTGTTCTTATCTGGGTCAACCTTAGTTCCTCTTTGACTAACAATAAATCCCAGTAGTTTGCCTAACGATACTCCAAATATGCACTTTGGGGATTCAACTTGAGGTGATTTGAGCCTTTCAAATAGCTTTCTAGGGCCCTTAAAATGGTCCTCTAACTTTTTGGATTTAGCAATTATATCATCCACATATACCTCTAATGCTTGATGAATCATGTCATGAAAGAGTGTTGTCATTGTCCTTTGATATGCTGCCCCAACATTTTTAAGTTCAAATGGCATGACCTTGTAGCAAAAAGTTCCCAAAGGTGTTATGAAAGCCGACTTTTCTTTCTCTTCCTCTACCACTTTTATTAATCCATCCATAAATGAAAATATTTCATGCTTTGCCATATCATCAATAAGGATGTCAATGTTTGGTAAGGAGAAGTTATCTTTAGGACCAACTCTATTTAAATCTTGAAAATCTACACACATTCTGATTTTACCATCCTTACTGATACAATGCTAGCTAACCACTTAAGTTAGGTTGCCACTTTAAGAATGCTTGCTTTAAGCTGCTTCTTAACTTCTTCTTGGATTTTTAAAGACCAATTAGGATGAAGCTTCTTTGCTTAATTGGCCTGACATTAGGGTATATGGGAATCTTGTACACTACCATATCTGTATTCAATCTTGGCATGCCTTTGTAAGACCATGCAAACACATCTTTGAATTATCTCAATAGATCAATCATGTCAGTCTTCTTCTTTTAGCTTAAGTGGCTTCCAACTTTAACACTTTTGGATCATCCTCAGCTCTAAGGTTAATTTCTTTCGAGTTAGCATCTAGTTATTTTCCTTCTTGTCACTCAATTTGATCGAGAAATGTAATTCGTACATGGGCCATAAGTGCTTGGCCCATGTTTAATCATTAGTGGCTCTCTGCGAACACCATGGCTGAATGCACATCATTGCCATGGTGCCCTCAGATCATTGGATGATCTCCCTTCTCAATTGTTCCCCTGATCAGTTTCTCCCCAAGAGGAACACTACGGAACCCTAGCACACTTTGGGCCCATTTGAATCTGACTTTATGAAAGTCAGTGGGAGCCACTTTGGTATGACCTAAATCAGACTTAGGAATTGTTTTATTTGTTTCCTCTGGATTAATATAAGTGTAACTGATATGGAATATCATATGATGAATTCTCTAAAGGCCTTCTATCATTAGCATGAAGGCGGGTTGAGTCGGTGGGTGGAATGCACCATAAAATTGGGTTATCCATTGGCTGGTTTAGTCGGTTGGATTGCTTCATGAGATGATAGGGGCGTCATAGACTGATATGGGAGAGGCCTATCCTAAAATGGAAGACTCTTTCACGGTACCTTGAGGTCTATGATATGACGGGTCAACACTTACCAGACAGAAAGGTTTAACCTAAAATGACAATGAACCTTGTCTAATGGAGGCCAAAGGAAAAGTTCATTAGATGGGTGGATATGATCATTCATAGAAAGTGGTGGGGTTTTGCAAGTGGAATAGTTGGCTCCATGCACCTATGTGATTTCCCACATTTCTAGGGACATGCACCGTCTCCCCATCATTGAGATAGGAGAGAAATTTCATAAATGAACAAATGGAGATGGAAGATAGATAAAAGACCATTCTATGTAAGATAACATGAATCAATTTTAG